AAGGTGTGTTTTAACTCGAGAAACGATAAAAAGCCGATATTATGATATAGTGTTATAACGTAATGTGATAATATAATATGCCAAAACAACGTAACACATAAAACAAATATACATATATAGTGTACATGTAAAGGACGTTACAAATTAAAAAGAGATAAAAGAAAAATATTTTTTGATTACAAACTTAATTAAAATTAATGTAAGAAGTTTGAAGAACCTCAGACGCAAGCCAAGAGAAAAATGTACTCCGCATGCTCATCGATTCCTAGGTTACTATTTTCACTCTACTCGCGCTATTAATAAAATATTCTTACCAATAAATTACCTTGCAAAAAGACCTTTCCGCCAGCTCGAGCTACCTCAAAAGAAAACCCTTTGTCAAGCACGTCTCTGTTTCTCGCGCGAAAATCCGAAAAAAAGGATCTGCCAAAAAGGTGTGTCCAGTGAACCGTGGTTCGTTCGAGCTTGAAAAGAGACAAGGCGCTGAAATGTCAAAGTCGATATTCGAGCAAGCCCTCAACCTTTCCATCCGATCGAAACAAACGGACAAACCACTCAATACGGATCCTCGCCCTGCAGAATCTCCACGAGTGTTCTTTGTCCCCTTCTGTCACAATCTTTGTAATCGCGAATGAAAAAATAAAGGTTTCTGAAACATCGCGGCCCTATCGTCCTTTAGAAAGCTTTGTCTTCACGCTTCCCGATGGAGGTTACGTATACAGAATGCCCTGTGGACGTATCGTTATCGTAGCTTTCATGAAAAAAAAGCAATGTTTCCCTAGCAAAGATACATACTTTGTAATATCGGATCACAATCGCTGATTTTTGATCCCTCTGATATCGTTGTCTTAAGAGCGGTTCTTCGCTTGATCTTGAATGGTTCTGTTATAGCTCTTATCGTTGTGTTAAACTCGTTTCACTACGTAGTTTTTCTTTTTTTTTTTTTTTTTTTTTCGGAATGTAGAGAATTATCGTGTCGCGTAAAGAGTGATGTATCAAAGTTCGTGGTCTTCTTTTTTTTTTTTCTTTTCTTTTAAACGCTCCGAGTTATTTCTGTTATCGAGCCAGTTCTTTTGGTTCCATGTTCCGTTAAGTTAAGTTCGAATTACGTTGCAATTGAAACAGGTGAAAGACTTTTTAGAAGTTCTACGATCACTGTTTTAACCCCTTGCTTTGCGATGCACGGTCATTTTTCTCTCGCCTATGATCAATAACCCGAGTGACACACATTTACGTGACAAACTCTCGTTTCAATCTTTCGTTATAAGATCGAAGATAACGATTCCATCTTTTTTTTTTTTTTTTTTTTTTTTTTTTTTCGTTCGTGACAACGCCGGAACAGCGAATAAGTTTGAAAGATATGTAACTGTTAAGGGAGTTATGAAGCAAGAGGTTGAGAAAAGATTCTCTGAAAAAGAAAAAACATGACCTAGTAGATCTTCTTTTATACTACTATTGCGAAAATTACAGTATAGAAATAGTTTGACAATTATTTACAATTGTTCCTTTGCCTTTCTTTCTTTTTTGTTCGTTACATTCATGTAATTTATTAATTCGTTACACGCTGAGTTTTCGTAAACAAAATAGCTACGCCACAGCGAGTTTCGTGTTTAAAATAGAATTTTGTTACGCACGCAACAGTCCACTGTTGTACTCGTAAACTATTATTATTTAACATTATATCGGTTTCTTACACGTCTGTCCTTCGTTCAAGTCAGTGACGATAAATCGCAAGCATTTCATTGAAAAGTCACAAAAAGTCAGGTGTTCCATTGTCTATCTTCATCTCTCGATGGTACGACGAAATTTAAACAAATCATGTTATCACATTGATAAAAAGAATTTTCCTACGCATGGCTGACTTATCATCACCACTTCTCACTTCGTTTTCTTATCGCACGAAACCTTGTCCCCTGAGTAATCCAATCAAACGTGAAAAAGAGAAGAAGGAAAAAAAAAAAAA